ACTTTACAGAGTTTATGATGAACATTTACAAAACCAGTGAGGAAGCTGAATAAGTACAATATAAAATTTTTTTCAAAGAAGAAAACCCTTTATTCTTGCATTTACTAATCAGATATCCAAGTTACCATAAAATGTTTATATATATATATATATATATGGGGCGTTCAAGTAAAACTGGGGCTTTTGAGTTTGTATAATAAAAGAACGAATTTCAGGGGAGTGGAAACTGCATTTATTTTTTACATACTCTCCTGCTACATTTATCATCAGCAGCAGTTAACTAATGCCTGACAGCTTCGACATAGAAAGATTTGCCAGTATGCCTGAACCATCCTAGGACAGCTTGCTTCACTTCGTCTTCATTTGTGTTTACTGTTCCCACAGAAAGATTTGCCTCTTGTGCAATTTCACGACAGGTTATGCATCAATTATCCAGGATCAGGCGTTCCATGTGTTGAATGTTTGTAGGAATAACTGCTGTGGGCTGGGATCATCACTGATGGACGTACGGCCATCTTTGAAACGTTTACACCATTCATAGGTCTTACTGCAGCTGGGCGTCTCATCACTGTACTGTGCTTGAAGTCTTCTGCAGATATCCCCGAGTTTTACTCCTTCGTTCCCAAGAAACGTCATCGTCACACACTGTTCATGCAAGCACTAACATTGTTGTTTGCCATCTTGATTACCAGTCTAGGGACTGGTCAGCCGCTTGTGTGCTGCCTATCAGTAGTGGGACACACTTGCCACCTACTACTGTGTGTAGTACCACCACATCCCTTTTTTACCTAGAAAATTAAAAGTCCCGGTTTGATTTGAACGCCCCTCGTATTTACACATGTAGGGGTTGGACGAAAATATGGAAACCCTTGGTTAAAGAACAAAATCGTTATCTAATATGGTGTTGGACCGCCTTTGCCATCCAAGACGGCCTAAATTCTCCTGGGAATTGACAACAATAAGTCTCGGATGGTGGATAATGCAATCTGATACCAGTTGACCATGTCGACCACGCTTCTGTTTATCAGATGATATTTTCCTGAAAACTGTATATGCCACCATAACCTTTGATACTGTACCTTGTGACACCGCAAATAAATTGGTAACTTCAGTCACAGAAAGCAGGCACCAACAATTTGCCCTCTTTGAAACTCAGTAACCTTTGACACAACTCCGTGTCACTAGCAGCACACGCAGTGAATGAGGAAAGTGAAACTTCTTATCTGTTAGCTAGGTGTCTCATTACACAGAGGAAGCAAAAAATGTGAGGAAAATGGGGATAGCTTGTTTTAAGTCCCCCCTTTCCCTCATGGGATGGTGGCGGTAGGAGTTTCAAAGCCCCCCTTAGATTGATTTGCGATAGGTTAAAAAAGGTCAGCAGATTGGGAATGTTCTGGAAGTTCTGAGGGTCCTCTAGGATATGTAATTTAAGGTCAACTGACCCCTCAGAACATTTTAAAAATTCCCGGGACCCCTACTTAAGCAGGAGGCTGAGGGGGATCTTTGCCGGTTGCCAGAGGGATATTTGAAGAGTGCCGCACTGATTTTGTCTGATTTTGTTTACAGTTTTAAAGTATTTATTGATTAAAAGAGTTGTGGTGAATTGTTAATTGTTTATATTTGTGAAAACCAAGAAACAAGGTTGTGGTCATTATTAATCCAGTTTTGTTTGTCTAGTGTTCTTTGTATGTTTAGAGTTTATGCCACCTACCGTTACATGTTACATCACTTCCACTTTCAACGTGAAACATTTTCATCACCTTCATACCTGAAAATATTGTAGTGTTTCCATATTTTTTTGTCCAACCCATATATATATATATATATATATATATATATATATATATATATACTGTATATACATACACACTATACTGCCAAAAGTATTGGGATGCCTGTCTTTACACGCGCATGAACTTTAATGGCGTCCCAGTCTTAGTCCGTAGGGTTCGATATTGCGTTGGCCCACCCTTTGCAGCTATAACAGCTTCAACTCTTCTGGGAAGGTTGTCCACAAGGTTTAGGAGTGTGTCTATGGGAATGTTTGACCATTCTTCCAGAAGCACATTTGTAAGGTCAGGCACTGATGTCAGACAAGAAGGCCTGGCTTGCAGTCGCCACTCTAATCCATCCCAAAGGTGTTTTATCGAGTTGCGGTCAGGACTCTGTGCAGGCCAGTCAAGTTCCTCCACCCCAAACTCGCTTTTTCAGTCATGGCACCCTTTCAATTTTTGCACAATCTCTTGGCACTCATTCTAAAATTTAATAAACTAAACTTACAGTTTTACATAACACAGCAACATCTACACACATAGGATATACAATTTTAGAGGTGATTTATTCTTCCAAAGCAAATACACCTTTGCACACTGCTACTGTTTAGTATTCCATTGTTTCTCTTCTCCCTCAGTTTCTCTCCCTCTCTCAGATAATGTGACCCCAATGATGATGGAGAGGGCAGAGTAGGAGAAAACAAAGATGCTGTACATTCGTCAAACGTCCTCCTTATCAACTGCAATGTCATTGGTTGTTAGGACACCTAGAAGATTGTAATAGTACACAATGAAAACCTGTGGCTTTGTGTCACTAAGAGGCAGGCTAATCCATCCGCTGGCTTATGTGCAATTGTTGGCCAATTTTTAGGCATTTTGCCTAGACACCCCTGAACACACCTGAAGGCAAAAAAAAAAGGCTGCAATACCCCAAGTGTAACAAAATGTATTATATAGAAAAAAGAGCAAAGGCTTCTCAGTCCACAATGCTGAAAAGTACAACCTCCAAGAATATCATTCCATCACAATGCTTTCCCCTACCAAGTTTTCATGCACAATATTAGAACAAATTCTCTTCCAGTGTCTTTCCTAAATCAAGTTTCTAAACATAGTACTGGAATATCCAAAAGGAGTTGCTCAACAGTGTTATACAGGAGTGTTAATTACACAAAGGCAGAGTAGCAGAAGAAAGGCATCTGTCAATGATATTGCTACTTACAGTAGTATTAGTTTAATTATTTTTGTAATGTTTGCTTTAAAGTTTAATACCAGGAACATTTTTTTCATTTCCTTTGAAGTAAGGAACAGTTAAAATTTTTGTCATGTTTTTATTTTTGTCTGTAACTCCACTGGTGACATATGCTCTAACTTTCTGTCTGTGTGCCACCAGGATAAGAAATATGATGAGCAGTTGTCACCAGGAAAGTAAGGAACAGACATCAGTAAAGAGATTATGACCAATACGCAAGCTTTAAAGCTAAACTTAAATACATTTAGGCTCCATGCACACTGGGTGTTTTGATAACGCTAGTAACGTTAGCTGTGTAAAGTCACGTTAAAAACAGCTTTTTCTTAGAGTTTTTGAATTAGTGTTTAGCAGCGTTTTGCCACAATTAGCGGCATTTTTCCACTTTTGCTTTTTATGGCGGTTTTTTAGCGTTATTTTGTAAAAAAAAAAAGTTTCTTCTTTGGTCAAAAAAAGTCCAAAAATGCCGGTTTGCTGCGTTTTACCACATTTTGACGCGTTTTTTCAGCGTTAGAGCATTTTTACAGCTTTTATTTCTCAGCCAAAAAACGTTAATTACAGTCTATGTGTGCATGGACACATAGGATAACATGCTTGGGGGGCTTACTGGCTGTAGAAAAAAAATGTCAAAAGCCAAAAACAGCAGCTGCAGAAACGTCAACTGTGCATAAGGATTAACGGTGGCTGTTACTAAAGGATTTGTATTTCTGTCCAACTAGCATCGCTGTTTACAAGTGCATGGTTGGCAGGCTGTACGCTGCATGTGCAATCCTAGGTACAGAAAAGTGCTGGAAAAATTAAGCCAGGAATCTAAAATGTCTGTAAGCCCCGTGTGCCTGAACCCTTGCAGTTCCCTTTGGGGTTAGGTCCATTAGAGTTACCTTGGCAGCAGCTGACAGTCCTATTATACAGGCTTCTGAACAGGGGCGGACTGACCATTTGGAAACTCGTGCACTGCCCGAGGGCCCGGGCCCGGGTCAGTAGGGGGCCCCATGAGATGCCCCTGTTACCTTTTTCATAGGCTTTTTTGAGTTTGGGCAAGGACACAGGGGCCCCATGATCCTCTATTGCCCAGAGGCCCCATGAGTTGTCAGTCCGCCCCTTCTTCTGAAGTAATAACTCATGTACCTGCTTTGCAAGACTGACCAACTTTGCACTAACTAGGAGTCATATATGTCTGCACTTGCTTTCATGATACATTGGGATCTGTGGCTGTCCACTAACAATACAGAGATTGCACAGACGGGGCTGCTTTACAGCTAACGTGTTTTACCAGTAGCAACAGCTGCCAAGTCCATTAAATACATTGTGTATCGGAGCGATATTTATCTGGTGTAGCCTATAATCACCTTCAGTTACTGGGAATAAGGGAATTTGCAGTTCCATGCCATTTTTTTGGAATACGCCACATTTTGCATTGAACAGTTTAATCCAGCAATGTTTATAGTAGAAGGTCGATTCAGTGCGACTGAAGTCTGCACCATAGAGGAGAGTTCTTTTATGATAACTAGAGATGAGCGAATTATTCAAAAATTCGGTTCGGCTGATTCGCCGAATTCGCCGATTAAATTCGCTTCGTGCCGAATATATTCGCTGCGAATTTAACTTATAAAAAGGGTGTTTCTAGGCTTCAGAGAGCCTTTATATTAGTGCAGAACACTGTACCTTTAATTTAAATGCCCTTGGAGTCTGCTGGGGAAGAGAAATAATACTGTCAGTCAGTATGACATGCAGATGAGTGCCGTCGATCTTAGAATCACCGCACACTTCACTCATTGGGCAGTCACGGGGCCAAAACCAGAGTGTGGAGCCACAGTGTGGCGGTGGAGGCAGCAGCAATGGGAGGCCATACAGCACCCTATGACAAAATGGAACCCACCAGCAGTGTGAGGAGACCTGAAAGTGGCACATGGCAGAGTGTGGCGATGGAGACAGCAGCAATGGGAGGCCGTACAGGGACCCATGACACACTCTGGACCTGGCAGCAGCATGAGGAGGCGGTACAGGGGCCCATGACAGATTACGGGCCTGGCAGCAGCATGAGGAGTCGGTACGGGGGCCCATGGCAGATTACGGGCCTGGCAGCAGCATGAGGAGGCGGTACAGGGGCCCATGGCAGAGTGGCGGAGCGTAAGCAGCTAAAATTGAAGGCCATACAGAGGCCTATGTTAAAAAGTCCCCCCAGCAGCAGCGTGGGGAGACGACTATCAAGAGTCCAATGGCAGAGTGGCGGAGCAGAAGCAGCTTCAATTGAAGGCCATACACAGGCCTAGGTTAAAAAGCGGAAGCCGTCAGCAGCGTGAGCAGACGACAGAGGCACATGCGCAGGGTGGCGGTGGATGCAGCAGTATTCGGAAGCCAAACACAGGCCTCGGTTAAAAAGCAGAAGCCGTCAGCAGCGTGAGCAGACGACAGAGACACATGGCGCAGGGTGGCGGTGGAGGCAGCAGCAGCAATGGAAGGCCATACAGCACCCTATCACAAAATGGAACCCACCAACAGTGTAAGGAGACCTGAAAGTGGCACATGGCGCAGGGTGGCGGTGGAGGCAGCAGTATTCGGAAGCCATACACAGGCCTAGGTTAAAAAGCGGAAGCCGTCAGCAGCGTGAGCAGACGACAGAGACACATGGCGCAGGGTGGCGGTGGATGCAGCAGTATTCGGAAGCCAAACACAGGCCTCGGTTAAAAAGCGGAAGCCGTCAGCAGCGTGAGCAGACGACAGAGGCACATGGCGCAGGGTGGCGGTGGAGGCAGCAGCAATGGAAGGCCATACAGCACCCTACAGCACCCTACACAAAAATGGAACCCACCAACAGTGTAAGGAGACCTGAAAGTGGCACATGGCGCAGGGTGGCGGTGGAGGCAGCAGTATTCGGAAGCCATACACAGGCCTAGGTTAAAAAGCGGAAGCCGTCAGCAGCGTGAGCAGACGACAGAGACACATGGCGCAGGGTGGCGGTGGATGCAGCAGTATTCGGAAGCCAAACACAGGCCTCGGTTAAAAAGCGGAAGCCGTCAGCAGCAGCGTGAGCAGACGACAGAGGCACATGGCGCAGGGTGGCGGGTGGAGGCAGCAGCAATGGAAGGCCATACAGCACCCTATCACAAAAAGCGGAACCCACCAACAGTGTAAGGAGACCTGAAAGTGGCACATGGCGCAGGGTGGCGGTGGAGGCAGCAGCAATATTCGGAAGGCCATACACACCCTAGGTTAAAAAGCGGAAGCCCACCAACAGTGTAGCAGACCTGAAAGAGGCACATGGCGCAGGGTGGCGGTGGAGCAGCAGTATTCGGAAGCCAAACACAGGCCTAGGTTAAAAAGCGGAAGCCGTCAGCAGCGTGAGCAGACGACAGAGACACATGGCGCAGGGTGGCGGTGGATGCAGCAGTATTCGGAAGCCAAACACAGGCCTCGGTTAAAAAGCGGAAGCCGTCAGCAGCGTGAGCAGACGACAGAGGCACATGGCGCAGGGTGGCGGTGGAGGAGGCAGCAGCAATGGAAGGCCATACAGCACCCTATCACAAAATGGAACCCACCAACAGTGTAAGGAGACCTGAAAGTGGCACATGGCGCAGGGTGGCGGTGGAGGCAGCAGTATTCGGAAGCCATACACAGGCCTAGGTTAAAAAGCGGAAGCCGTCAGCAGCGTGAGCAGACGACAGAGGCACATGGCGCAGGGTGGTGGCGGTGGAGGCAGCAGTATTCGGAAGCCAAAACACAGGCCCTCGTTAAAAAGCGGAAGCCGTCAGCAGCGTGAGCAGACGACAGAGGCACATGGCGCAGGGTGGCGGTGGAGGCAGCAGCAGCAATGGGAAGGCCATACAGCACCCTATCACAAAATGGAACCCACCAACAGTGTAAGGAGACCTGAAAGTGGCACATGGCGCAGGGTGGCGGTGGAGGCAGCAGTATTCGGAAGCCATACACAGGCCTAGGTTAAAAAGCGGAAGCCGTCAGCAGCGTGAGCAGACGACAGAGACACATGGCGCAGGGTGGCGGTGGATGCAGCAGTATTCGGAAGCCAAACACAGGCCTCGGTTAAAAAGCGGAAGCCGTCAGCAGCGTGAGCAGACGACAGAGGCACATGGCGCAGGGTGGCGGTGGAGGCAGCAGCAATGGAAGGCCAATACAGCACCCTATCACAAAATGGAAGCCCACCAACAGTGTGTAAGGAGACCTGAAAGTGGCACATGGCGCAGGGTGGACGGTGGAGGCAGCAGTATTCGGAAGCCATACACAGGACTAGGTTAAAAAAGCGGGAAGCCGTCAGCAGCGTGAGCAGACGACAGAGGCACATGGCGCAGGGTGGTGGCGGTGGAGGCAGCAGTATTCGGATGCAGCAGTATTCGGAAGCCAAACACAGGCCTCGGTTAAAAAGCGGAAGCCGTCAGCAGCGTGAGCAGACGACAGAGGCACATGGCGCAGGGTGGCGGTGGAGGCAGCAGCAATGGAAGGCCATACAGCACCCTATCACAAAATGGAACCACCAACAGTGTAAGGAGACCTGAAAGTGGCACATGGCGCAGGGTGGCGGTGGAGGCAGCAGCAGTATTCGGAAGCCATACACAGGCCTAGGTTAAAAAGCGGAAGCCGTCAGCAGCGTGAGCAGACGACAGAGGCACATGGCGCAGGGTGGCGGTGGGGTGGAGGCAGCAGTATTCGGAAGCCATACACAGGCCTAGGTTTTAAAAAAGCGGAAGCCGTCAGCAGCGTGAGCAGACAGACAGACAGAGGCACATGGCGCAGGGGTGGCGGTGGATGCAGCAGTATTCGGAAGCCAAACACAGGCCTCGGTTAAAAAGCGGAAGCCGTCAGCAGCGTGAGCAGACGACAGAGGCACATGGCGCAGGGTGGCGGTGGAGGCAGCAGCAATGGAAGGCCATACAGCACCCTATCAAAAATGGAACCCACCAACAGTGTAAGGAGACCTGAAAGTGGCACATGGCGCAGGGTGGCGGTGGAGGCAGCAGTATTCGGAAGCCATACACAGGCCTAGTTTAAAAAGCGGAAGCCGTCAGCAGCGTGAGCAGACGACAGAGGCACATGGCGCAGGGTGGCGGTGGAGGCAGGCAATGGCAGCAGTATTCGGAAGCCCACAACAGTGTAGCCATACACAGGCGCAGGGTGGCCTAAACACAGGCGTTAAAAAGCGGAAGCCGTCAGCAGCGTGAGCAGACGACAGAGACACATGGCGCAGGTGGCGGTGGATGCAGCAGTATTCGGAAGCCAAACACAGGCCTCGGTTAAAAAGCGGAAGCCGTCAGCAGCGTGAGCAGACGACAGAGGCACATGGCGCAGGGTGGCGGTGGAGGCAGCAGCAATGGAAGGCCATACAGCACCCTATCACAAAATGGAACCCACCAACAGTGTAAGGAGACCTGAAAGTGGCACATGGCGCAGGGTGGCGGTGGAGGCAGCAGTATATTCGGAAGCCATACACAGGCCTTTTAAAAAGCGGAAGCCGTCAGCAGTGTGAGCAGACGACAGAGGCACATGGCGCAGGGTGGCGGTGGAGGCAGCAGTATTCGGAAGCCATACACAGGCCTAGGTTAAAAAGCGGAAGCCGTCAGCAGCGTGAGCAGACGACAGAGGACACATGGCGCAGGGTGGCGGTGGATGGCAGCAGTATTCGGAAGCCCAAACACAGGCCTCGGTTAAAAAGCGGAAGCCGTCAGCAGCGTGAGCAGACGACAGAGGCACATGGCGCAGGGTGGCGGTGGATGCAGCAGTAATCGGAAGCCAAACAGGCCTCGGTTAAAAAATGGAAGCCACCAACAGTGTCAGCAGCAGTGAGCAGACGACAGAGGCACATGGCGCAGGGTGGCGGTGGAGGCAGCAGTAATTCGGAAGCCATACACAGGCCTAGGTTAAAAAGCGGAAGCCCAGCAGCGTGTAAGGAGACCTGAAAGACACACATGGCGCAGGGTGGCGGTGGATGTGGCAGCAGTATTCGGAAGACAGCAGCACAGGGCACCTCGTTTAAAAAAGCGGAAGCCGTCAGCAGCGTGAGTGCAGACGACAGAGGCACATGGCGCAGGGTGGCGGTGGATTAGGGCAGCAGTATTCGGAAGCCATACACAGGCCTAGGTTAAAAAGCGGAAGCCGTCAGCAGCGTGAGCAGACGACAGAGGCACATGGCGCAGGGTGGCGGTGGAGGCAGCAGTATTCGGAAGCCATACACAGGCCTAGGTTAAAAAGCGGAAGCCGTCAGCAGCGTGAGCAGACGACAGAGACACATGGCGCAGGGTGGCGGTGGAGGCAGCAGTATTCGGAAGCCATACACAGGCCTAGGTTTAAAACTGGAACCCAGCAGCGTGAGCAGACGACAAAGACGCACATGGCAGAGGATGGATCTGGCAGCAGTATGAGAAGGCGGTACAGGGGCCCGTGGCACAGTGTGGTGATGGGGGGGGGCTACAGCAACTGGATGCCAGAAAGTGGCCGATAGGGCTATATACTGCATGACTACATAGGTGGTTTTTATAGTACTTTATTTTGGCCTCCCTCTCAGCAGGTGTGAAAAAGGCCACCATTTTTGAACAGGTAGCGAGGGTCCAACAAGGTGGAATGAGCCAAAAGTCATCCCTCTGTCTGATGGTTATTATTCGGCTGTCGCTGGCGCAAGCGAGCATGCTATGGGCCATTTGTGCCAAGGAATGCGAGGGACTCCCTGCCTCCATCTCCACAGCAACCTGCAGAGCATGCTATGGGCCACCCATTTCACTCATTTGTGCCAAGGAATGCGAGGGACCTCCCTGCCTCCAATCTCCACAGCATACTGATGCCTTGTTAACGCATTTGTTCCACGGAGGGTCTCTGGGGTCCTCTGTCTCCTCCTCCTCCTCTACCTGAGAAGCGTCAGCACGCATGAGCTCCAATGGCGATGTCTAAGTTACACAGCTGTGGTAAAAATCTGCCTTGCATGCAGCTCAAGGAGGGTGTGCTTTGCGGTGTAGGGTTGAATGGCTGAAAACGTGCATGCAAAGTTTACGTGACATTTTAAGGATGTCTTGCAGTGGGTTTGGTGGATTTTTTAGGAACCGCTTGACAACCAGATTGAACACGTGAGCCATGCATGGCGCATGGCACAACCTTCCTTGACGCAGAGCAGACACCATGTTCTTTCCGTTGTCGGTCAACATGGTTCCGATTTTCAGTTTGCGCGGAGACAGCCATCTGTCGATTTCTCTGTTCATTACACTCAGAAGTTCCTCCCCTGTGTGACTACGTTCGCCAAGGCATACCAGGTGCAGCACAGCGTGACACCGTTGTTGCGCCCTGCACATGTGATATGCCGGTCGGGTAATGGGACTTGGCACGGGGGTGGTGGCGGCTGAGGACACGGCGGAAGAAGAGGTGGTAGAGGCGGACATCTTTGCTGGACCAAGGACGTGCAAACGTGGAGGCAAAAGCGGCGTGACCTGTCCAAGTTGCTGGTGCGGCTGTGCCGGCACCACGTTCACCCAGTGGGCCGTAAATGACATGTACTGTCCCTGACCGTAGTTACAGCTCCACACGTCGGCGCTGCCGTGCACTTTGGCAGAGACCGACATGCTCAAAGACTGGCCCACCATCTCTTCTACATGTGAATGCAGGGCTGGCACTGCCTTTTTGGCGAAGAAATGCCGGCTTGGCACTCTCCACCGCGGCTCGGCACAAGCCATCATTTCTCGGAAAGGTGCTGAGTCCACCACTTGGAAAGGGAGGGACTGCAGCACCAGCAACTTGGACAGGAGGACGTTCAGCTTCTGCACCGTCGGGTGCGTGCTCGCAAACTGTTGTCTCTTGGAAACGGATTCCAAGAAAGACTGCTGACGGAATCCGTGAAGAGGAGTAGCAGGAGAAGGAGCATCTGAACGAGCGGAAGATGCCAACGAGCGACAACTCCCCTCAGCAGGTGGTGTTGGAGCCTTGACTGGCTGATAGAGGGCGATTGACGTCGGGTGACGGAGCAAGTAACGGGAGCGGGTGATGGAGCGGGGGCTGGGGCAGGCAGAACCGCCGTATCTTTATCACGGTTTTCCCAGGCCACCGAATGGCGACGCTGCATATGCTGACGCAACGCTGTAGTCCCAACATTGGCCCCCTGGCCACGCTTGACTTTCTGGCCACATAGTCGACATACGGCTACGTTTACTTTACTTCCTCGGGCGGCTTGACGAAAAATTGCCACACCGCCGAGTAGGAAACTTTGCCCCCCCGCTACTCCTCACTGGCTGACTGCTACTTCCTCCGTGCACACCGGCACCACTACTGGCCGTGGTGGTAGGCTGCAGTGGAGCTGGTGCTCTACTCCGTGGGCCGTTTGGCTCCACTGACACTGCTGCGCGACCCTGCTGCCTCCTGGGCAACCCACCGACTGTTTTGCTCGCTGGCAAGCTGGCACCCTCTTCTCCTGATGATGCGGAAGCAATAGCCTGATGACGACGAGAGGCTGCCAAGTGCGATCAGCCTCATCATCATCAATTAGGGTCTCCGCGTCACTACTAGCCCCCTCGGCTGCGTGTGGGTCAGGAGACAGACCTGTCTCTAGACCGGCTACCGAGCCACTCTCCTCGCCAGTACTTCTTCGCCTGGCTGCTGAAGAGGCGGATGTCTCCCCCCGTTCCTGACCGCCCTCTGTTAGCTCTTCCTCACTGTACAGTGGGGCT